AAACCTGACAAGGGCCAGGGGTTCAAATGATTGTGTGGAAAATGTCTTCCAGTTCCTCATCACCCCAGATCAACATATGGTTGTGACTGGTACCATTCTTTGCCAGCTGCCATCAGGATAGTTTTCTTTTCCATTCTTTTTAATACAATTGATCTCTCAGGCATACTATACAGTGTCATTCATCCTAGCCATTTATACTCTTCATTATCCTTAATACAGAGCTGACCCAAGGGAGAGTTAAATGTTGAATGCATTCTTGAGAATGGTGGGAATTTGATTGAGCCACTTGCACTCATGAAATGAAAGGTCTTGTGATGTTTAACTGTTTATAAAAAAGGTTTCTACTTTTCTGGCTATGCTAAATTGAATGAGTAGCGCGGCGTGGTTTTTAAAGGTCCTAATGTTTAAATTGGCCTATACTGTATGGATCTCACTATAAAGCCTTAATTTACTACCAAGAAATAAAGCAATATATTGGTAACTGATGAATATGGTCAATTATTTAAGCTAATCAATTAATTTTATGACTGAGAGTGGAGAGATCTAAAATATTCCCAAAATTTAACTCCTTTTGCCTCATTAGAGCCGGGTACATAAGTAGGCATTTCACCAACAGCATGTTTTTGATTTATAATTCAGAGTTTACTACAGAAATTATTGCAGGCGACAGAAGAGATAGCATTGTACAGCTGTCTGTATATAGTTTGCCTTCCACCACATCATGTCTTTGATCTTAAAATAAAGCCACTAACTGGGAAAGTATTTGAAATACGTCCAGGGTATAAATACATTAACAAGAAATTCTTAAAGAGCCTTTCATTAGTTTAAAACCTAGGTTAACATTTTTCCTGATGTGGAAAAAAAATGAGCGAGTAATAACACTTGTGTAAAAGTAATTGTTCCCTTTTGACTGTCTAATCTGTAGTAGGCCAAGCAAATATAACCTAAAGAGACAAAATGTTTCATGTCATAATTCCATATTGCTGAAATAAAAAAAAATCTTTATGTAGCTTCCAGTGGAAATCTTGGGTCAGAATCATTTGGGTAGTAGCAACATTCTTTTTCTTGGTCCAAGATTCCAACTTTCCAGTAACAAGTATCTGATTCTTAAAAATGATAAATTTAGTCTTTGTCCTGGAGAATCAGAAAGTTAATAAACATAAGTTACTTTTTTTAGTATTTTGCTCGCACTATGTCAAAACTCTCCTAAAGCAGTGTAATGATCATATAAAGTGTAGGTTTGGCAGCCCTGCAGGCCAATACGTATATAAAATAATATTATAGAGTGAGTAGTGCCACCTATTATTAAGTTGCCCAGCACTTTCCATTAAAATACTCTTTTCAGTTGCTTTAACTATTTGGGTTGAAATTTTCCATGCTGGGCATCAATCTCAGATTGAATATTTATGGAAAACTTTAGTCAAAATGGGCCAACTACTTCCAAGAATGAGGCTAACAGTTAGTTTTGCCCACGTGAAACACTCCTCTGAAAAGCTCTATTCCCCCTCCCCGCTTTCAAAATGGGGAGAAGGTGGTGGAAACTGCAGTTGGATTAGAAACCCAGGAAGGGAGACAGACCCAGTTCCAAAGCTAGGAGGACAGGGCAATCCACATTACCTGTTGGCTGAACACAAAAACAGGGGACAAGTAGTTAACACTGGAGGAGGGGAACTAAGTAGGAGAGCAGGCAGCTATGATTGAGATCCTGACAGCAAGCCCTGGGAAAGAAAGGAGGGGGTGGGGTGAGTGAGGAGAAGGAGCTGGTTGCACAAGCAGTCTTGAATTTTCCTAATAGAGCCATAGCCTCATGAACACCACTGCCACTTTTGTACCCAAAAGGCAGTCTGTTTCAGAGTTGTCCATATGCCTAACCCATGCAGGCTAGTGATCAGTCACTGGTTTATTAATATCCAAAAGTCCCACAATCTCTACAACTGTATGTAGCCTTTAAATTAAGGATGACCTTGATATTAAGGTCTTCTTAAAACTTTGATACTTAGGCATTCACAGAGGTTCTAGAATGAGGGTGGGAAAACATTGTTCTTAGGCATTCATATAAATATTTTATGTTACAAACTAGAAAAGGGTGATCTTGGATTTAATGGATCTATTTTATGCCTATTTTGGCCAATGTTAACTGTGGGGGGTCTACATTTGTCTTTCTGTTCCTACAGTAAAAATACCTTTAAGGACCAGTTGTTACCTTTAGTTCCAGAAGAGTTACTCCTGCTTTGTACCTATACAAAAGGAAGGCTGCACAGGAAATTCTAAAGGCAAGTAAAACCCAGAGGGGTGTATTTTTCTTTTACACTCCATTTCAGAAAGATGTTTTTTTCCATTTTGTAAAGGACCTGGAGTCAATGGGAGTAAATCCTGTGCCCTTCAGACAGTTTAAGGAAAATCAAAGCCCATTTTTCAAGGGTTAATCAATAACAGGTTCAAATTACTGCCAAGCAGTAGGCATCAGAATTCAAGCTTGGCTTAAAGAAAATACATTTATTTGACTTGATATCAGTCTTATACAGATTAAATACAATTTTCCCTATAAAATGGCTAAGAGACATTTATTTTCATGCTCCCCTGCTGTATGGTTGCATGCTCCAAAACAATTTTTCCTGTATATTTTTCTGTTTTCAGGGATTGCTGAGCAGAAATGTTAGGTCGTTTCCCCTGTCCTCTGGATGTTCATATAGACATATCTTTGATTTATACTAGTTAATGGAAATTCTTTCCCAAATAGACTCTGCTAATGCAAATTAAAATAATATTATGAGTATAATGGTCCACTTGGCCACAGTTTCTCCAAATTAAGCCATTTAAAATACAAAAATACTAAACAGAAATACCAAAGAGTTAGAGACCAGAAAGAAGGTGCTTTAAAAAAATGCACAGGCTATTAGAAGTTACCCCCTATTCATAATGCTAAACAGAAACAATTGCCATTATTTTCAATACTTGAGGTATTATGTGTATTTTATTTCTAAGACCGTTTTCCTTCAGTTTCTAAGAGAAACATTACTTACCAAAGTCTCAGTTTCATGCAAATGGATGAGATGGGGAAAATAAACATTAGAAAGACAAGCAAAACCTTGGGCCAAAAGGGAAAGACTGTTTTGTAACAATATCTTCTTACATTGCCTGGTTTTGATGTTCCAAAAAAGAAAATCCTCCATCTAAACCTTTAAACTTTCTGTGCTGCTGGATGCTTTTCCTTTTTTAAAAAAGTATATACTACATTGTGTATGCAGTTGTTTATACAGTTCCTTCAGTTAGTTGCTTGCCTTTTGGCTAGAATAAATTATTCATTAACAAGGGAAGAAATAATTGCAATAGCTAATTAGGAATGTTTAATTTCTTCTTTTTACCACATAATTGTGGGTAGTACACCTGCCATCATATATTATGCATTTTAATACTTCCAGAGAGATTGCCCACATTTATACATTTAATAATCATTTTTTATTATTAAACCTTTTTTTTTTCTTTTAACACCTCAGTGCTTCAGTCAAGGTAATTTTCACAATACATTAAGATGACCTTCAGATGCACACATAGGGAGACAGGATCTGATTCTGAATCTAAGTTCTTTGTGTCTTACTAGACTGTTGTTTAATGTTTTGCTTTTATATTTGTAACTTAATACTGTATATACTTGGTTAGAAGATGAGGTTTTCTCCCCCACATTTAACAAGGGGGGTGGGGAAAGCCCCTCGCAACTGAGCACAAGGCAAGGAGGAACCAGGGGGGTGGAGGAAAGGCAGTGGCAGGAAGCTGGCTATGCTGCTATTAGGCCAGATTGGAACAGCAATGCACTCCATGCTACTGCTATGGTGGAAGCCATGCTTCATGCACTGGGCTGCAGGAGGAACAGAGCCTGCCAGTGCAAAGCAAAGGTAAAGTGGGCAGGGGTTGAGAGGTAGGTGGGGGAGGGGAGATGGGATGAAGGAGACAAAGACCTGAGGCTGTAGGTGGCAGAAGGGGCATGGAGAGGGGAGATGGGGGAAACAAAGGAAGGGAGAATCAGGTTAACCTGAGGAGGGAGCAAGCAGGCACAATGAGAAGGGGGGGGGGGGGGGGGGGGGGGGCAGGCAGCAGGGGGAAAACTGACTACCTCTCTCATTTCCTGCCTCTGTCACTGCCTGCCTCACTGCCTCCATGCTGCCTGCCCCCTAGCACCTGACCTCCACTGCTTGTCCCATTACTGCCCCCTGCAGACAGTGGAGTCCTGGCATTGTTATGCATGCGTAGGATGACTAGAGGTTGGAGTATTCTAGAACTTTTGAACTCCTAACCGTAATGATGTCATGACCCACTTCTGAAAGCTAAGCATGTGCAATGAGTTGTTTGACCAGTACCTATTTGTTTGTTTGGTAACCAGGGGAACTGTGGCAGTTAGGACCATTATTTTAGTGAGTTATTATGGGTTATTGGGATAGGTTGATTTGTATGGTCCTAGCTGTGATAGACTTTGATTGGCATTGATTGAGAGAGTAATGATTGGATCTGCACGTGACTGACAGTTGGCATGGTTTAGACGTTATAAAGCCTGTCCAGTGTAGGGGCCGGAGCGGCTTTTGGGGGTCATCATCGGCGGTGTTAGAGCTCACTGAGACCTGCTCTGTCTAGCGCTCTCCCCCTCTTTTTCCTGGTGTGTGTGGGTGTGCAACTGATTGAGTATTTGAGTCCTTCTGTTTGTGGAGCAAGTGAGAATGGTGTGTGTGGGACAGTGTTCAGGAGCAAATGCACGAGGGTTCTGATCGCCTGAGCTCTTGCCAGCCACTCAACTGCTTGTGCGCGTTGCGTTGGTTGGGTAAAGTATCACCTACCCCTTTTCTGAGGTGCTTAGTACCCATCTGCGTGTGAGGGAACAGCACAGAAATCCTCAGGGGTGTGAGGCTGCAAAGCGGGCCTTCCCTGCCTGTCAGTTCTCTAGAGTGATAGTCTGACATCTAGGGTGACAGACTGCAGACTGGCGTTGGGTTCTTTAGCTGTTCTCTAGTTTAACTGTTATTAGTACTGTATACTGTGTCTGTATACTGTTGTGTTTGGTTTTGTTGGTTCTTGTCTTAATACACTTGTTAAACTTTACATTGGTGTGGGGTTTTCTTGGTATTTTGCACCATTGGTTGGGGCTGAGCAGTAGGCCAATTTCCAGAGGGATTTAACTCTTTGGTGTCCGTTGAATCTAATAGGGAGGTTGGTAGGATACAGAGGCTTAACAACCCTCTGTGTGTGTTTGAGAACATAGGTGGGTGCCTGAAGTGGTCCACAGGGTTTTCTATTGCCTTCTTTTTTTCCCCGCTCTTCACCCCACCTGCCCTAGCAAATGTCCCCCACTGTCTTTCCCACTGTCTGTCCCCCACCACCTGCCCCAGTCCCGCTCCTTCATTACCTCTCACCTCATGACCTGTGAGAGGGGAATAAATATAAGATGATCCTCCAATAATTAGATTCCATACATGGAAGATTTCATAAATTTTCTACGTGTAAA